CAAAAATTAGAAAAAAATAGCTGCACATGTTGGCACAGACATGTGGTCCCTGCAACTCAAGAGGCTGAGGCAAGAAGATTACTTCAACCTGGGAGGTAGAGGCTGCAGTGAGCTGTGATTGCACCAATGCACTCCAGCCTAGGCAACAGAGTGAGACCCTGTCTCAAAAAAATAATAATAATAATGGCTATTATGATGATGATGATGATGATGAAGAAAAATTACTAGGGTTATTTGAAAAACCTGTATGAGTGCAGTTTAAATTTAAAAGTTTATTTATTATGTTTATTGAGATACAATTCACATACCATATAATTCGACCACTTAAACTGTATAATTCAGTGGTTTTTAGTATATTCACAGAGTTTTACAACCATCACCATACCACAATCAATTTTAGAACATTTTCATTACCCCAAAAAGAAACCCCATACACATTAGCAGTCACTCCCCATTTCTTTCACTCCCATTCCTAGGCAATTGCTAATCTACTTTCTGTCTCTATAGATTTGTCTATTCTGGAATTTCATATAAATTGAATCATACAATATATGGTCTGACAAGAAAATATCTGCAAATCAAATATCTGATAAGATATTTGTGTGGAGAATATATAAAGAATTCTTACAATTCGATAATAAAAAGAAAAACAATGCATGTTTGTATATTGGCAAAGGATCTGAATAGACATTTTTCCAAAGAAGATACACAAATGATTAATAAACACATGAAAAGATGCTCAACATCATTAGCCATTAGGAAAATACAAATCAAAGCCACAATGAGATACCATTAACATCCACTAGGATGGCTATAATCCAAAAGACAGATAACATGTGTTGGCAAGGATGTGGAGAAATAAGAACCCTGATACATTGCTGTTGGGAATGTGAAAGGTGCAATCATTTTGGAAAACAGTTTGGCAATCCCTCAAAATGTTAACATAATTACCATATGACACAGCAATTCTACTCCTATGTATGTAACCAAGGAAAATGAAAACATATATCCACCCAAAAACTTGTACTTAAATGTTCATACCATTATTCATAATAGCCAAAAGTGGAAGCAACCCAAATGTCCATGTATTGATGAATAGATAAAGAAAATGTAGTATATCCATATAATGAAATACTATTTGGCAACAAAAAAGATGCATGTTACAACATGGATGAACCTTGAAAACATTAAAATTGAACTCATGGAGATAGAAAGTAGAAAGATGGTTACCAGAGGCTGGGAAAGGTAGTAGGGGGCTGGGAGGGAGGTGGGGATGGTTAATGGGTACAAACAAAAGCTAGAAAGAATGAATAAGGCCTACTATCTGATAGCACAACAGAGTGACTAAAGTCAGTAATAACTTCATTATACATTTTTAAATAACTCAAAGGAGTTATAATTGGATTATTTGTAACTCAAAGGATAAATGTTTGAGGAGATGGCTACTCCATTTTCTATGATGCATTTATTTCACATTGTATGCCTGTATCAAAACATTCTCATGTACCCCATATATACACCTACTATGTACCCAAAAAACTAAAAATTAAAAAAAAACTAAAAATAAAACCAGAAAACTAAAAATAAATAAATAAATCATTCTGTAAAGCTATAGTAGTCAAGACAGTGTGGCGTTCACTGTTATTCACCACAGTACTAGAAGGCCTAGCTGGAAGAGTCAGACAAGAAAAAGAAATAAAGGGCATCCAAACTAGAAAGGAAGAAGTCAAATTATCATTGCTTGCAGATGATATGATCTTACATTTGGAAAAACCTAAAGACTCCACCAAAAAACAATTACATAAACACATTCAGTAAAGTTGCAGGATACAAAATCAACATATAAAAACCAGTAGCATTTTTATATGGCAACAGTGAACAATCTGAAAAAGAATATAAGAAAGTAATTCTATTTACAATAACTACAAATAAAATTAATACCTAGGAATTAACCAAAGAAGTGATAGATCTCTACAATGAAAACTATAAAACACTGATGCAAGAAAATGAAAAGTAAACACAAACTATGGAAAGATATTCCATGTTCATGGATTGGAAGAATCAATATTGTTAAAACGTCCATATTACCCAAAGCAACCTGCATATTTAATGCAATCCCTATCAAAATACAAATGACCTTCTTCACAGAAATAGAAAAAGAATCTTAATATATATATAAAACCACAAAAAGAAACAGAATAGCCAAAGCTATTTTGAGCAAAGAGAACAAAACTGGAGGAATCACATTACCTGACTTCAGATTACACTACAGAGCTGTAGTAACCAAAATAGTATGGTACTGTATTGGAACAGAATAGAGAACCTAGAAAAAAATCCATACATCTACAGTGAACTGATTTTTGACAAATATTTCACAAACATGCATTGAGAAAACTGGGTATCCATGTGCAGAAGAATGAAACTAGACCCCTATTTTCACCATATGCAAATATCAGATAAAAATCGATTAAAGACAAGTCTAAGACCTCAAACTATGACACTACTACAAGAAAACACTGGGGAAATTCCAGGACATTGGACTGGGCAAAAATTTGTTAAGTAATATCCTACAAGCACAGGCAACCAAAGCAAAAAATAGACAAATGGGATTATATCAAGCTACAAAACTTCTGCACAGCAAAGAAAACAATCAAGAAAGAGAAGAGACATCCCACAGAATGGGAGAAAATATTTGCAAACTACCCATCCAACAACATATTAATAAGCAGAATATATAAGGAGCTCAAACAATTAAATAGGAAAAAATCTCATAATCCAATTAAAAATGAGCAAAAGATCTGAATAGGCATTTCTAAAAAGAGGACATATGAATGGCAAACAGATATAGGAAAAGGTGCTCAACACCATTGATAATCAGAGAAATACAAATCAAAACTACGAGGAGATATCTCACCCCAGTTAACGTGGCTTTTATCTAAAAGTCAGGCAATGACAAATGCTGGCGAGGATAAAAAAGAAAAAAAGGAGGAAAGGACATAAACAGACACTTCTCCAAAGAAGACATACAAACGGCTAACAAACATATGAAAAAATGCTTAACATTTTTAATCATCAGAGAAATGCAAATCAAAACCACAGTGAGATGCCATCACACACCAGTCAGAATAGCTACTATTAAAAAGTCAAAAAATAACAGATATTGGCGAGGCTGCAGAGAAAAGCAAACCTTCCTACACTGTTGATGGGAATGTAAATAATACAACCACTATGGAGTACAGTTTGGAGGTTCCTCAGAAAACTAAAAATAGAGCTACCATATGATCCAGCAATTCTACTCCTAGGTATATACCCAAAGGAAAGGAAATCAATATATTGAAGAGATACCTGCATTCCCATGTTTATTGCAGCATGATTCACAATAGCCAAGATTTGAAAGCAACCTAAGTGTCCATCAACAGATGAGTGGATAAAGAAAATGTGGTAGATATATACAAAGGAGTACTACTGAGCCATAAAACAGAATGAGATCCTGTCATGTGCAACATGGGTGGAACTGAAGGTCATGTTAAGTGAAATAAGCCAGGCATAGAAAGACAAACGTCACATGTTCCCACTTATTTGTGGGAGCTAAAAATTAAGACAATTGAACTCATGGAGTTAGAGAGTAGAAGCATGGTTATCAGGGGCTGGGAAGGGTAGTTGGGGATGGAGTGTGAGCGAGAATTGGGGATTGTTAATGGCTACAAAAAAAAAAAAAAAAACAGAAAGAATGAATAAGACCTAATATTTGCTAGGGCAATAGGGTAACTATAGTCAAAAATAATTTAATTGTACATTTTAAAATAACTATAAAAGTATAACTGGATTGTTGGTAACACAAAGGATAAATGCTTGAGATGATGGATACCTCATATACCAAAATGTGATGATTATGCATTGCATGCATGTATCAAAGCATCTCATGTAATACATAAATATGCATACCTACTATGTACCCATAAAATTAAAAATAAATTTAATAAGATACATTATCCAATTTTCCATAATTATAAGGTTGTGAATAATATCACTAAACATAAATCTTTCTCCTCATTTATAATCATTTCCATAGGATAGATCCTGGAAGCAAAATTACTGGTATGAATTTTTTAAAGGGTCAATGGATAAGGCCAAATCATTTTCCAGAAAGCTTAAACAAATAGCTACTTGAGGGCCTACTATATGCCAGATATTGTTTCAGGCAGATTATACCATTTTACAGATGAGCAAACTAAGATCCATTGACATTATTTTTCTAGAGTTATGGAGATAAGAGGCAAAGCTAGAATTCAGATTCATAATTGCCCAGTTTCAATGCTCTTGTTATTTCCATGTGGATTTCAAAAATAGTATTTTTGAAGTATCAAATTATATATTTACTAAAGAAAATGTGGAAAATGCAAGTAGAAAGTAGAGAAATGAAAATAAATTACCCATGAATCCACCACTTCAATAGTTCAGTGTATTTCCTCAGTCTCTTATTACAAATATAATTTTGGGGGTTAAAAATATAGCATTGTAGGCCAGGCTTGGTGGCTCACGCCTGTAATCCCAACACTTTGGGAGGCTGAGGCGGGTGGATCACGAGGTCAGGAGATCCAGACCATCCTGGCTCAGACGGTGAAACCCCGTCTCTACTAAAAATACAAAAAATTAGCCGGGCATGGTGGCAGGTGCCTGTCGTCCTAGCTACTCAGGAGGCTGAGGCAGGAGAATGGTGTGAACCTGGGAGGCGGAGCTTGCAGTGAGCCGAGATCACACCACTGCACTCCAGCCTGGGCGACAGAGCAAGACTCCGTCTCAAAATAAATAAATAAATATATATATAGCATTGTATATATAATTTTATATACTGCCTTTTTCACTTAACATTTTCAGTGCTGATCTATACTCTTCATAAATGTAATTTTAATGGTTGCATATTATTGTCAAGTGGGTGTTACCACATGAATATTTACAGTTGTTCAGCTCATCTGTGAATTTCTTCTCTTCATTCCCAGGACTCACCATCTCTGCCTCCCATGAGGCTTACAGAGTTCAATGTTGGAAATCATTGTAATCTTCAAAATAAGTCACCGTGTTGGATTCAAAGCTTCAAAATTTGAAAGAATTCCATGAAATACTTGCTGTGTAAATGTTTCTGGACTTCATATTATTTAATTTACTGACTGAAATCCAATTTGGAATTTGGCAGCAGTTAATTCAAGCCAATTTTTTTGTTTCTTCATTTCCCCTCCCCCAATCCATGAAAGCCTAAATGTAAAATATATCTTTTCATTCATCTTATCAGGTAAAAGGAAATTCAGAAAATTTCCTTGGGGTCTTTAATTCCCCCACAAAGATTATTAATCACATATATAGGGCCTTTTTGGTGTTGAACCGAATCGGACTACATTTGCTGTTTGTGTGCATGTGCATTTGTGAACATGTACAGCATATCTATACAAAATTCTGCTATGGTGTGAAAATCAAGGCTAAAAACCTGAAGCCTTTGTTTAATTATGCTTTTCCTCTAAATAGCAACTTAAATATTTGCTGGACTTTGAACCATCGCTATATCAAGTATCTAAAATTTGGGAGGGTGATTCAGTACACTGTGACCAACGTCCTCAAATTGGAATTTGAACAACAATGTAAAACCTGTTCTGTCACAAATGTTCCTGAAAGCACCACAGCTACTCAAGAAGATCAAAATCAGGACATAAACTTTATTAAACATAATAATCAGTGTTTTAAAGACTTTTTTGTCAGGGTGCGGTAAAATTCTCCAATTACTTTTATTCATTTATCTGCTACCTAGTTTTATTTTAGCCTTTATGAATTATTTTTATGATGAAAGAAAATCTATAAGCCTAAGTTATGGCCCATAGGTTTTGTTAAGGATTTTCAGAGTGACTTTTCAAGTTTAATTTCCCTGCCTTTCATAAGGGTAAAGTTTCACAGCTGACATTAGCCTGAGGATTAGCACTAAAGAGCTGTGTTTTCATAGCAGGAGCTATTGTACAGACAGTGATAACCAAATAGTAATATGCCAATTCTTTCTTCTTTTTTTAACTTCAGTAGTAGCTAAACCATTAATACAGTTTGCATCAATTTACCCATTTATTTATAATCAGCCTTTCTTTTAGTCCTAGTGCCTGAATCAATGAGTGAGAATACTAGTACTGCTTCTTTGCAATAATAATATCTTAAGAGTATTGATGTCTTTCATTTTTTTCATTCAGCAGTCTAGTGCCCAGCTGCTGACAATAAAAGCTCCAACTCTTACAGAGATCAGTGGAAGTTAGAAGCATCTTACAGGTATCAAGGAATTGAGCTTCTAGAGGGATGGTTTGGCTTACTAATTAATCATCCCTGAAATATTTTCGAGTAAAAAAGAGTTGCCTGCCACAATTTAGTGTTGGGGTTGCAGTGGAGCTGAGAAAGTGAACAATCCAGCTACTTAAAGCAACAACAAAAACCTGTTCATCTGGACCCCTAGGTAATTTTGAACAAGGTGAGACTTTTGTCATAAATTAAATAGATTGTGGTCAGCATTACATTTGAGAGAATACTAGACATGATTACACTTATTAGGACTGTTTCTTAAACTCAGAAGCTAAAAAGCAGCCTAGATGACTGTGCACACACTGGGTTTCATGATGAAGTCTTCTTATATATTCAGATGGAAAAAAAATTTCCCCTTACACTCTTTCTCAAAGTACTCTCTTGTTTGAGTTTTTCTTGAAAGCTTATTTGGCCATCCCCATGGTTTTATGACAGACAAGCCTTGTCTTCTATTCATATAGATATGCACCTTTTCTACATGTATGGCCTTTACTTACTACACAGTGAGTAGGCCTCAAAGTAATCTTCCTCTTTCCCATCAATCATCTGCCAAGCATTCAGGCAGAGCAGCTGTTAACTATGATTCAAAGTCAGAAAAACATCAAGAACTTCTTTGATGCATAGGATGTATCAGCACTCAGCTCCCACAGAAGTCAACTCACAAAATCTAGTATCAGTTAACTATAAGGAAGTTCTGGAGAGGTAAAGCTCAGGAAAGCTATAATGCAAAGCTGATTGTTTAATGTCTTACAGATTTACACTGTCTTTAAAAGGCCAAATAAGGCTGGGCGCGGTGGCTTACGCCTGTAATCCCAACACTTTGGGAGGCCGAGGTGGCCAGATCACCTGAGGTCGGGAGTTCAAGACCAGCCTGACCAACATGGAGAAACCCCGTCTCTACTTAAAATACAATAATTAGCCAGGAATGGTTTTGCATGATTGTAATCCCAGCTACTCGGGAGGCTGAGGCAGGAGAATTGCTTGAACCTGGGAGGCGGAGGTTGTGGTGAGCTGAGATTGTGCCATTGCACTCCAGCCTGGGCAATAAGAGTGAAATTCTGTCTTTAAAAAAAAAAAAAAAAAAAAAAAGCGAAATAAATCAGCGTTTTATCAGGGGGCTCAGAGATAAAAAGAAACCCTATTCCTATTGTAGCATTTTGGTCTCATTGGTTTATAGACTCTGATAATATCTCCATCCACGGATAATTTGAGTGTTGACTAATGTACATAGGTACCCAACTGGTTGATTATTAATCAAGAATACAGAGTTCTGTTTAATAATTAGCACACCCTGATTGGCTTCTTTGCTTGGTTTTCCTTGGATCCCTGTCCAGTAACCTCTGTGGAATCTCATTCCCTAATCGTTGATACTCATTTTCTCCGTTTGCAAAATGAAGATACTCATTGCTAGGATCCTACTGCTGAAGGGTGTTATGTAACTTTCTAGTGCTCTTACATGTCTTTAATTATAGGACTGGAATGAAAAGTTTAACCATACAGTATTTCTAAGCAAAATAGTGTACTCCATTCTTTTATCCGTGCTCTCATTGCTGATTTGTTCTTGCAGAACTTAGAACACTTTGTTCATGTTCTTCCATTCACTCCAATAGGGTCCTCAGAAAGAGACAGAATAAAAAAAATGTTCCCCATGGTATAGCTGGAAATATTAAGGAGAAAAGAGTTTAAGTGATCCCCAATGGAACACAGCTGTCTTATGCAGGGCTCACAGTTATCATATACAGTACACTGTTAAAGTAACTTGGCTTCCCAGGACTGGAATTATCATGGAGCAGTTAGAATTTTGAGAGTATTTACAACAGGATTGCATTCTGAAAGAGTCACATTTTGTCAAAAATCTGAAAAGTATGCAATTTGTACAACTCTTACTTTCTATGTGATAAGAATGTAATATGTGCCTCTTTCCCCTATTGGCCCCATGTGACACATATTTTTCACACTATGTGGCATCAACCAGTGCCATTACCTCCTGTGGCAACATAGAGCCCAATCTCAAGGCAGACATTGCCAAGGTAAAGAATGCGCTCCATGTTTATGCCAAATTGCACAAAGTATAGACATTGAGGTTAATGGAGATTTAAGCACAATCCTAGCAAGTAAGTTTTAAGAATATTGAATATTATACATTATTGTAACATGAACCTAAAATTTAGCAGGGCCCAAATTCATAGCAATGTAACAGTCATTGAAAGCCTATTCTTTTCACCTCTTATCACACATATCTACATACGTGTATGCACATGTACACACACACACACACACACACACATTTTCTCCAAAGCAGGCTGCCTGGTCAGCAGGAGCAAATACTTTAATTTAAAGGAATGATTCTCTGTTTTCTCCTTTTAGAAAAAGAGTCTAAGAATCACAGCATATGAAGAACATTCAATTTATACATTCCAGAATCTCTGCTCTCAGAGTAGCTAAGAGAATTGGTACAAAAGATGTTCTATGCAGAAGCACAGAGGGCATCTAACAAGATAGTCAGGCCCTTGGAAAAGATCCATATTCTTAGAAAATTAATGAATTCCATCTCATTAGGAATTGGTTGATGAGGTATCATACATCTGCATTTCTTTAACCATAGCTGTAATGTACCATATTAAATTGTAGCCTTTTGCATGCGGGATTGTATAATATAATAATGAATGGGTGGCTCCTAGTAGCATGCAACCCATGACTGTTTACGTCCCCAGAAGGGCTAGGTCTGTGTCCTGCACAGTATTCAAAACCATTAAATGTGTTATTTGTAGGAGGATGGTACGCAGCCATCAGCAGAATGAGTTAAAACCAACAATGAATTCAATATATCAGGAAATAGATTCTTAGTAGGGAATGGCATTAAAGAGAAAAAAAAAACAATTAGATAAGATGCATTCAATGAATAATTACTTTCACTCTGCTGGCTTAATCAGTGAAGGAACAGAGAAGGAAAGCTGGCAGTGGGTCTTGGTAATATATGAACTATATTGGAGTGCCAGAAAAGGAGACCTCAGTAGTTAAGCCCAAGTTGCCAATTTGCTACAATTATTTTTCCCACCAATCTGCTCAAAATGACTGTATATAGTATTCTTAAAACCATGTGTCTTGGTGCAGAAATATTGACAAACGCTGGCCAGCTTTATCTCCCTATATCCTTTATTAAAAGTATATGCATATAATTGTTGGGTTTTTTCCTAAATTGTGGCTTTGTTAAACAATGTTGGCAACCCCTAAAGTTTCAGACTACTCTAAGGAAGTTTCTATACATCTAATTTCATAGGGGTATAGTGCCGTTTATTCACTCAGGTTGATTGGTATGTGTGGTATGTTGACTCCTCTGTAACATCTCACCTTCTGAGCAGCCCCTTCCATGCGTTCAGTTTTTCTGTCTTTTTTTTTTTTTTTTTTAGACAGAGTCTCCCTCTGTCACCCAGGCTGGAGTGCAGTGGCGCAATCTCGGCTCACTGCAAGCTCCACCTCCCAGGTTCACGCCATTCTCCTGCCTCAGCCCCCCAAGTAGCTGGTACTACAAGCACCCGCCACCACGCCTGGCTAATTTTTGTATTTTTAGTAGAGACAGGGTTTCACCATGTTAGCCAGGATAGTCTCGATCTCTTGACTTCGTGATCCGCCCACCTCAACCTCCCAAAGTGCTGGGATTACAGGTGTGAGCCACCATGCCTAGCCAGTATTTCTGTCTTATGTTCCTACATGAATATGAATTGGGAAATTAGCTGCAATGGCTTTTAGATAGAAAGTTGACCAGTCTAGTGACAATCACATTCAGTCGTTTCTATTCAGCCTCTCACATCTTTTGCCTTTCACTCTACCATTGCGATGAAAGGAAAAAGAAAGAACTTTTCTTATGTGCCTAAGGGTGAAGTGAACTCTGGATTGCTTTTTCTTACACTGAAGTCTATGTGTACTATTCTCCAGATGCATGTCACCTGAAAAAAGACACATAGAGGGTAGCAACAGACACTGGGACCTATCAGAGGGTGAAGGGTGGGAGGAGGGAGAGGACCAGAAAAAGTAACTAATGGGTACTAGGCTTAATACCTGGGTGATGAAATAATCTGTACAACGAACTCGCATGACACAAGTTTACCTATATAACAAACCTGCACATGTACCTCTGAACTTAAAATAAAAGTTAAAATAAGCATAAACAAAACACACTAAAAAAGAAACACAGTAGCCCACTTACTCCTAAATCATACATTATCCTCAGAGAAATATTTGAGGAGACCCTCATTAAGGTAAACCCCAAATAAGGTTTCCCTCAACTGATGCACCATTTGCAGGAAAAGTCCTTTTTCAGACAGAATGGAGAACGCCCCCAATTAGCCAACCAGGAAGGCAGAAGTCATTGAAAATGCAGGGCATTGGAAGCTGAAGTTTGGAACAGTCATTGCTGACTTTCTGACTAATTAATAATGGATAACTTGAATCACTGAAAAGAGGCCCAACCCATAGAGGTCAGGCTTAACACAAAACCAGAAAAAAATCTTTTATTCCGGCTAAACTTATTTTTTTTTAAAGTAATTACTTTGTCCTAGGTAAAGACCTCAAATATCTCTGTAGAAAATCCCATGTCATCTATTCCAGTGAATCAGTTACAAACAGCTCATATTACAAACAGTGTTACTGGAAAGGGGTCCGGAACCAGACCCCAAAAGAGGGTTCTTGGATCTCATGCAAGAAAGAATTTGAGGTGAATCCATAAAGTGAAAGCAAGTTTATTAGAGAAGTAAAGAAACAAAAGAATGACTACTCCATATCCAGAGCAGCCCTGAGGGCTGCTAGCTGGCCACTTTTATGGTCATTTCCTGATTATATGCTACAGGAGGGGTGGATTATCCATGAGTTTTCCAGAAAAGGGGTGGGCAATTCCAGGAACTGAGGATTCCTCCCATTTTTAGGCCATATACTGTAACTTCCTCACATTGCCATGGTATTTGTAAACTGTAATGATGCTGGTGGGAGTGTCTTTTATAGTGCTAAGGCATTATAATTAGCATTTAGTGAGCAGTGAGGATAACCAGGTCATTTTCATTACCATCTTGGTTTTGGTGGGATTTGCCTGGCTTCCTTACCACATGCTATTTTATCAGCAAGGTCTTTGTGACCTATATCTTGTGCTGACCTCCTCCTACTCATCCTGTGACTTAGAATTTCTAACCACCTGGGAATGCAGCCCAGTAGGTTTCAGACTCATTTTACCCAGCCCCTATTCAAGATGGAGTCACTCTGATTCAAATGCCTCTGACATATTTTTCCCCTCCTTTTTATAAGAGAACATTTAATCCTAAGGTTTGTAGAGGGACGAAGATCCATCTTCTGTAACTTTTTCTGGCTGAATAGGGGTGATGATATTCCTGCCTATTAGGGTCTCCTGTAGTTGGGGTAGAGAGGAGCTCAGTCAGAAAGTGTCAGTATGGTGAGGGCCATTTATAACTGACAAAAGGTGATATCTGGAATATTAAAAAGTGTTCCATTTAAATGAAACATTTAGTAAGCTTATCCTGTATTCCTACAAAAGGGTACAACAGCAATATATTCCATAACAGTAAAGCAAAATAAGTAATACTATCTCAAGTAAACTAAATAAGAAGGTTTTCCATGAACTGGGCAACTGTTGGAACCAAGCTGATATGGGGTTGCCAGCTGATTCCAGTGTGCCCAGAATTAGAATATAGATCCTGATTTTTGACTACCCATCCCTCTTGTTTCTTCTGTGCAGCAGTCAGAGATTACGGATTGGTTCACAGGAAAAAGCAGGGTTAGTCTAAATTGCAGGGAAAAAAAAACCTCAAAAACAACCAATGAGACTAGAATCTAATAACAGGTGTACCATAGTTCTTGAAACATAATTGTTCTCTCTCCAGTTTCCCATTTTTACTAAAGACAAATTATAATAGGACCAATTCATTTACAAAAATAAGCCTTAGTCTTATAATTGGCCTGAATATTTGTATAAAGTGCAGCAAGAATAATTTTTTTTTCCATATAGGCATTTTAAATTGGCTTTGTTGAAACTCTGTTTCATAAGGAATCTCAGATACGAATTTTTTTAAGCTGAACCCAGCCATGGGTTTGTACCCTCAAATACCAATGAGTTGAGTAAATTCCTCTCCTCTTGAGGTCCCAAGATAATCTGAACCTGCTAAGCCTATCAGAAAGGGACATTCTTTACTTACCACAGGTTAGAAACCCTCAACAGGGACTTTGCAGAAAAGGCATGAGGCCAATTTTCCCAAGGGGCTTTTATTGGATCTACAAGTTAAGTTTGATTCCTTAAAAAGAAGCATGCCATTCCAGTCAAAGCCTTGGTAAAACCAGATTCTCCAATTGTGTCCTGCTGCAAAAGAAAACATTCCTATTGCACTTATGCAAATAACTATATTTCCATAAATTAAGAATACTCACAAATAGTTTACAAATTCTAGAGAAATTAAGTAGAGAGAAACAAATATGCTCCAAATTTTGTTCACCGGAGTATATTTTATTCAATTGTTAAAAGCTGTAAAGAGCTCAGAAAAACTTTCCTTGACTCTGAAAAACAAAACAAACGATCAGCAACATTTTAAGCAAAAAGTTTAAAAATATTGCTTCAGACTTTTAGTTTAGTCCATGCAGTTAGCTCCTGTTCTACTTGATATTCATGAACATTTCAGCTCTCCATGAGAGTCTTGAAAGTTTTTCCAGGATTACCATAACTTATGATAACCTGGGATTCTATTTTGTTATTTAGCCAAATTGATAACTTAAAAAATTTTTAAAGGCAAAAACCTTTACTTGTGAAGATGGAAGACTTAGCTTTCCAAACAACCTCTCTCTTTTTTTTCCCTTCTTTTTCCTGCAGTTTATTCAAAAGGCAAACAAAAATTTTTATTATCCTTAAATATTATATAAAAATGTTGTTCAAGAGAGAAATCCAAATTTCACCTTTTGCATTAGTGTACTATTAATGCAAACCCCAATTTTCAATAATATCTGATAGACAAATCTACACAATTTTAATGTTTGACCATAAGGTTAAGATTTTCATTAACCTTTTATAATGCTTTACAAATTTTTGTTAAAAAAAAGATCAGTCCTGTAAGCAAAAGGTGTTATGCTTTTATTCCAATGTTCAATTTATGGAAGACCTAAACAATTCCCTTTTAATTTTAGCCAGTATGTTCACACACAATTTCTTTCACAAAATTAATTTTTCACAAACCTTCCACAACTTGCTCAAACCTTCAGCTTTATCCTATCTAACTTAAAATAATCCTTTAACCCTTTAGGCAGAAAAATCCACATTCCCATGCCTTTTTATAATCTTTTACCAAAAACGTATTTCACTATCCTTACACACCATGCATGTAAAATGTTTTATTTCCCAACAATTACTAAAGTCATGTAAACTGAAGGCATAACGACTTTTATTTTTCTGATAAAATATTTAAGCTCTTTTTAAAAAAACCAACTAGTCAATGCTCTTTCATATTACACACACATCACATATAAATATACAAACACACAGAAGGTTCAATAGTTGTAAGGGTTTTCATTCTCCCATTTCTTAATTAGATTACTAGCTTCTGGGTGGAGCCCTTGGAGGAGCAGGGCCAGGAAAGCATTACAGTTTCTACAGCCTAATAAGCAGGCACAGCTGGAAGGCAAAAACAAATTCCAAAAATTAAGGGTCCCATTTTTATACTGGATACTGGATCCCCAAAAGAGAAGTGCTACAGAAAAAGACAGTGCAATGATTTTACCATGTATTTTTTTGCAAAGCAATCCAAAGCCAATTAGCCTATTCTTTGATTAGCCCATCCCCTATGGGAGGCTTATCTCTCAGTGGGCAGGGGAACATCTCCATACCTTCTGGGTGGCCAAGAGCATACTACTTTGATCCAAAAGTGCAAGGAGCTGAGTATCCCCCTATAACTTTCATTAGTTATCTCCAAAACTATATTTCCTACCTAGTTATTACACACCAAAATTCTGTCATAATGTAAAGTAACTTCTGATACCCCCAAAAGTAAAAAATGTCAGATAATACAATGCAAAATAGAACAGAGCCTTAGATTTTGAGAGGGATCTATTTGCTTTTAATTCCTGGGGTTGCATGATGAAAACAGAGGGTTTTCCCAAAATGGGGACTGTGGCACCTCCTCTGTTTTTCCCA